CAAGAGAAAAGTGATGAGAAAATCTTGTTTTGACTGCATATTTAGTTTGCATGTTTTGAGGTGTTTGAATACATTTACTTCACATCACAAGTCAGTCTAATATCACTATGACTTTGTATCATCTGGTAATCAAGTGAAAAAAACATTTATGTGAAAATATGAAGGATTAGTTATGGCCTTAATGCAACAGTTGGGATACATCTGTGACCAGTCAGACTACGTAACAAACCTGTGCCCATAAAAACAAAGTTATTCATACACATTATTGACCCCACTGAATGCTGGAATCATCAAAACATGCTCCAGCTTGGTGAGTGAGCGAGGAGTGCTTATCCCCGCCAGCTTTCCCAGCCTGTCTCGCTGGCTTCAGGCCCAGAGGGCAGGGCATGGGGATAGATGGGCCTGTCGCTGGCTCTCTGCTGCCCAGATGGCTCGCTCTTGTCAGCGGGCTCATCGCCAGGAGGGGCGGCACCCTGATGTCAGGAAATGATTGGATACGCCAACTTTCATTTGCGTGCCCCCAACACCTGTGGGCTGCATGGAGAAATGAAGGGGCGGTGTACTGGAGCCTGGCCAAATGCATATGTGTGTGTACTGTGTGTGCATGTTCCTGTACTTGTATCCTTTTGAGAGCCAATCTAAGTCTTACACTTGTAGCATGAGTATATTAGCTGTAAACTGAGGGTAATTTTGGCTAATTTTAACCTCTTTGTGGTTGGTTCACTCTTACTACTCTCACCAACATAGTTTTCTTTGGAAAAGCTATAAAAATGACTGCATGCTACCTGTCCAGTATGAAACTGAACATACCAGAGCATTTAGCAGCTAAAGTGTGATGAAAATTACATTAAGTATGTTTTAAACTGTGTTTTAATCAATATATTAACCAACATATGTTATTCAATGGATTTTAAACTTTCAGAACAGACCACAGATCTGAACTGACATGATCTATCTCTGTTTTAGTACTCTGTGTGTTGTTATATGTTCAAACAAATGGCATCCCAGACTTAAAGGACCATCAGCCATAAACCTTTCCTGCCATATATTGTGAAGATACACAGACAACATATTGTTTAGTGTCTGAGGGGTTATCAGGGCAAACCCTCTCAAGTTCCTGTTCAAATCTTTTTTACAACCTGATTGAACGCCTGGGATGCGTCTCTAGGGAGTTCCCTTTGCCCTATATAATGTGATGTTTAGACTAAGCTCATTCAGACAACTCTGTATGCCTATGCTGACTTGTCTCCTTTCCTTGCTGCAAGTAAACCAATCTCTTATTGAAAGATTCCAGTGACTTCGTTGCTTCTTTGAGACAAATTAGTGTGGGCAGAAAAAGTGCGAAAGGGGGAGGGAACATTACAGTACATTTCACAGGTATGCTCAAGCACAACTCTACATGCTACTGCCTCTCATCTTCTGGATGTGTAAATCAAGCTGTTTAGGGCATTATCCATAACACTTTAGGTGATAATACATCAAAGCTGTGTTTACAACTTGTTTCCACTACTGCAAAGTGGCCAAAAATATTAGTTGATGCAGGTTTGTGTGATCAAAAGTTCTGGAAGAGTTACTACATGAACCTTCTTAGGCTCAAGTTTAAGTCAGCACAGACAAAAGTCGGTGTGTTTTTCAATATTGCCAAGGACTGAGGGGGGCAAACATTCAGCGCTGGAGTTTATGAACTAGCATTAACTCCATCCACTTGCAGAGCAGCCCATATACATCCATGCTATATACAGTACAGTGTGCTAACCTCGGCAACAGCTGTTAGCTTAGCCAGTCTACTAGCTTTCTAATAACATATTAGAACAAACATGGAGAGGAGGAACTGTTGACAAATTGTCTGTTGTCATTTGTTTGTGTGTGTGAGAGAGAGAAATAGAGCATGGATGGGCTGAGTGAATACATGTGCTACGCACAGCATTATATCGAGATAACATTTAATTATTTTAAATCAATATTTGGCAGTCAGCATTGATATTGTGGAGACCCACCACAAATAAATCAATGTACAGAAAACACTGAGCTATGGGTGACCTTCTAACTGAACTCCTGTCCACAAACTGAACATAAAAAATCTTCTATGTCAGTTTCACCCTCACACTCTGTCATGCTGGCTGCTGCTCTGGTTCTGTTATGTAGTGATATTGGGAGACAGTTTTTTCATCCCACAATAATTATTGTCACATTTTAATATCATGATATCTCATGGCAAGCACTATTGTCACTCCCTACTGGATACAATGCTGAATGATCTGGTTGAATTCAGAGTTACTGTTTAATATACACAGCAGCTCTTGTGTGTGACAAGAAGTCAGAGTCTGGGAGCAGAGCAGGCATGACTGGACATTCAAATTCAAGAAAAGTCTTCTACTTAAGATGATAATCATATCACAGAATTATCAGGAATTATTGCCTAGCGACACAAATCTGTTTAGAAAGCAATTCTCAGTTTGGGTATAATTTTTGATAAAGCCCTCAGTGGTGTCATTGTTTACCTCTCAAATCTCCCATTTACTGTGGGTCCTTCTAGATTCCTGCATGAAATAATGTGAGTGAACCAAATAAAAGTTGGATTTAAGTCCTTCGGCATTATATCCTGGAAGATTTGTGTTGTGAAATTACCTTCTCTATTGCAGCAATGGGAATGAGAGCACTAACTCATGGAGTGTGTAATTCAACCACCTTAGCTGTCATTGCCTTGAATTTAAAAGCTTTGATGAATGAATGCTGCCTTTGCTTTTTTCTTTTGAACAGGTTGCTTCACCTTCCTTACACGTTTCCACAGATACTAGCTCACAGTGTGGCAGCCAAGAATATCCGATGACCGCTGTCGTCTTTGTCCTGTAACGGCAACAGCTAAGACTCCATTAGAAGCAGACACACTCAGGCAAACATAAAATAAAAGCTCCTGCTTGCGTCTCATGAGCCACTAACCCCCTTCAGCCTATCAAGGTGTACACAGGCCTCTCATGTATGTTCAAAAGCAGCTGACCTACGACCCACACCCATGTGTAATTGACATGTGTGCTTGTATGAGAAAAATACAAATGAAAATGTTGTGGGGAGACTCTTAGGTGCACATAGTCTGTCTATGTCTGTACTTTTTACACATGTGAGCACTGGAGGATCAGTAAACAAGAACTAGCTTTCATGTTTCATGTTACAGTAAAATAATCTCCTGCAGGAACGCAGCAGAGATCAAAGGTCATGCAACTGACCTCAGGTCTGCCCAGAAAGCTGCCATCTTTTTCTTGTACTATCAACCATTTGCCAACAGTTTCAAATGTGAGCTTTTATGTTCTTTAAAAGAAATGACCGCTATGTGACTTTTACAAATGATCACAATTTTGAAGCAATCAAGCACAAGGACTAAACCTCAGTCTTAGAAGCATATAGCTCTAAATGCATAGGCACACTGGTGTATGTTTGTGAATAAATTGCTGTCTTGTAAGCAGTCAAACCTACATTCAGTCTCCTCTGCTGTGTCCAATAGCAGCCATTTGTTCGACTGCAGAGTCCACAAGCGAGCAGTCCCCAGCTGCTCATTCCCCTTGAGCCAGTGGATCTCTAATTTAACACACAAAGAGTGGAGAACATATGAATACAAAATGCAGCATGCATGAATTTCTACGCTAAAATGCATCAGTGGCACTGTACGGTATGTTTTGTATCGCCTGTTGCTGTTTCTTCCGTACAGCTAATGATACAGTACATCTCCAGATTTGTATGTTTTGATGGATACAAGTTTAAGAAGACTGAGCTTTAAATGATGAATACATGTCATAGTCATCATGATCCATTTAGCTGCCAGAATCGAGGAGGTGTTTCTTTGGAGCCAGACATGTTTTTGCTTTTTGGAGAGGCTAACACAAACTGTGTCACATGAATACTAAAACAAACTGAGACAGAAAGCCACACATGTTAAAATTTCATCAGTCTACACTGCAAACACAGTGGACTGATTGGTCTATCCTAAGGGTGGCAAAACAATCTGGAGCTAATGTAATAAGACGAAGTGTAGTAACTGCTGGTTTATGAGAAACACCGTGCACGGATCACATCAATTCATAATTTAGAAGTGGTATATATTAAACATGTGTAGAACAGCGCTGAGCTACAAATATAGATGAACCGGTTGCTGATAAACACCTTAGTTGACACATTTGTGACTGAACCAATTTTCTTGGAGAAGTGCTGCGTTATCTGACAGAAATGCAGGGGACCCAATATTTTTGGCCATGACAGTATATGTCCGAACCCGGACACAATTTCTAATTTGCTGTCCGAACCCGGGCTGAGCCCTCAGGTAGCGACAGGTCCTGTTGTTTTTGCTTGGTTTGGGTATTCACATTCTAATTCAGCAGACCTTTAAAGGTGCCAGTTTGCCATAAAGGAAATAAAGAGTTAAAAAAAACCACAGGGCTCAAGTTGTCCTCCACACCATAACTCACTGAATCCATGGCAACAATATTTTTCTGTTTTCCCCTGAAGGATTATGGGAAGTGCACTGTAGTTCAACAATTTAGAGCATAGAAGTAAGATGTGAACTGCAAATTGACTCATTTAAAGAGGAACCTTCAGGGAGGAGGTGTGGAAAAAACACTGCTTCAGTCAGACTGGAAGAAGCAGGTAAGTCGAACTAACCTGACCAGGATCAGGCAAGTCAAGGTGAATAAGCTTAGTTATTTAGCTCAAACACATTTAAACCTCCTTTGTGAAAACAAGTTTTTAAAAACAATCCTGACTTACAGAGCTATGCCTGGTTTATGAAACACTTCTTTGCTAGCCTCAGGTACACAGAGCAACAGGTTGATAAACATAAATAGTTTAGTAATGGTTTCCCTTTCAGATTTCTGCAGTTCAGGACATTTCCAGACAACATGGGTTACAACCATAAATAAATAATAAAATGCACGAAAGGCTGTTCATTCAAATCCAGCTTTTAAACTGCTAAGAAAGTCTAACACAGACTAAAATGGTTAGATAAAATCAACATTTATTATAAAAATAGCCAGTCATATTACAGTTATGGTGCTCAGTATGGTCATTCATTACAATTCAACAGAGGCACAAGTCAAAGTGTTTGATGTTCCCGCAAATTCATTGAATAAATGTGCTGTAAAACAAATTTACACACACACAACAAAGCATAATGTGATTGATTTTGGCTACCATTAGGATATATAAAAATAGATAAGGACATAAGGCTCCTTCTCAGACAGGAAATGAAGGAGATGGGCTGAGTTGTCTTTCACACATCATACTCATTATCCATTCCTCCCAAACGCCCGCTCCTCCCTCCATCGCATGCTGACTTTTTGGAAAAGAGACAGAATCCATCAGTGTGAAATGAGGTCAGCGATCGTGTCGCTGATGGAAAATCACCTACTGTAACCACCAGACCACAGGCAGACACACACAGACAGGGAGTATGTACACTTTCTCTCTCGCTCACAGTCTCTCTCCGAGACACACAGATGTGTTAAAAGGTTGCCATGACAACTCTCTTACATTCCCAGTCGGTCAGGGTTGCTGAGAGAGTCTGTGTGTGTGTGTGTGTGTGGAAAGTGTAATTGAGTAGAATCATTTAGGGCTCACAGAGAAAGTCATTTTGTTGCAGATAAAGACAATCTCAGGACTGTGAGCTCTCAATAAGCCTGCAAGGTAACTCCTAACACGGTCAGGCTGTTTTAGCCCGGACTGAACAGTCAGGAACTACTGTGCTCCTCCCACCATTAATTGGATCACATCAGTATCACTATGTTTTATCAGTTTGACACCAGTCCAGACACTTAACAACACAGTCACACACTCACACTTCTGTTTGTGCAGAGTTCACTGCAAGGATCCTGCACATGTGCAGATGAAGCTGATTAGTTGTCATTTAAATGTAAAGTGTGGCCTTGTAAATTCTGACTGAAACCATGACCCGATGATTAAATACTGTCCTTATAAAAACATCACAGGGAAATGAAACCCAATTTATGCTTTCATAAACAAAGTGACATGAAACTAAATAGATATTGCAACACTGGTGCTACAGAGTAATTTACTGGTAATGGAGTAACTTGATTTGATCACATTTACTGTACATTAGAAACTTTCTGCTGGAGAACAACTCAAACTTATTGATTAGTTGGGAACATATAAACTCCACTTTACTGTATTGCCCAACAAATGAGAAAAAAAAAAACATTAAAAGGTATGATTCTTGAGATTCTCATTAAATTAAGCCCCATTTTTGATACTACAATATTTCTGCTCACATTTTTCTGGAAAAGCCAGTCAGTGAGTTTACATTCTGCCTTTGCCACCATGTTGCCATGCTCTTAAGGATTACTTTAAGAAAACAAGAAACCTTTTTGTTATAATTAATATGGATTAAGAGCAGTCCTTAGGTCAGCATATGTAAAAGAGCACACAGGCTGGACAATAAAGAAAATATCTCAGTTTTACTCTGAACAGTGTGTGTTTTTCCTGCAAGGGTGTAAGGGGCTGATCAGAGGTCAGCAGTCAGCTCTGCATCTGCCAACTCAGTCAAACAATGTACAAAGTTAAAAATAAACAAAACCACACACAATATGGTGATGTGATTAGCTTGCATAGGATGCCACCCAGGCATTAGACTTCAGCAAACAGCTACGACAGCTGGATACTGAGGATCACTAATGTAAAACTTCACCTGTTACACTCTCACGCCTCCATGTCCACACCTCCAGTAGCTGTTCTGATGGAAATGTCAATAATTTATGGTCCAATCTTCCTTTAATGATGGAAATGTCTGACAACATAGCATACTGTCTTGAACCTTCAACATTTTACACTGCAGACATGAGTGTCAGAGGATGCAATGCTACTTCAGATATAGGAGGACTGTGTGGAAAAGTGGTGCTTCTCCATAAAGGAACCACTACAACAGCAAGAGCAGAGGTAATAACACCCATTCTGCCAACAGATAATCCAATTTAACATTCAGTAGAGAGAGGTTGTTCAATTTAATTGTATCTAAACATTCTTTATACTTTATAATGATTGCTTAGCATGTGGTCTTGTCTTTATGGGTTTAAATTCACTGAGTTTCTCTTATTTCAGGTCTTATACATTTTCTCCACTTCAATGAGTACACAATTGATCAGTTTTAATAATTCACATTCTTAACTGCTGGCACATGAGTTGGCTCATGCGCCGATATCCAGAAACCTTGTTGTGTTCCTCAGTACTGTGAAACCCAAACAAGGTGGTTTACCAACTTGTTTTTGCTGATAAGCCAGACTTTTCTGTTTATCCCCCCATCACCATCCCTCAGGCCTGCAGGAGCTTCCTGAGGTCCTCGTCCATGCCTCGCACTCTCAGCTGTTCCAGGTTGTGGTAGCGATGGATGACATCGTCAGCAGTTACCACCACCAACCTGACTCCATGGGTGTCTTCGCCGAGCTGGCAACCGATGGCCGAGCTTACAACCATGTCCAGGCGCCGGCGTTTCGGTGGTAATGACCAGAGAAGACCGCCTTCACCCCTGTGCCAAGGAGTGACAGACAGGGAATGACACAAGAAAAAGTGTAAGGATGCTGAATATGGGGCAGCAATGATGAAACTACATAAATCTGAGCATTCAATGTGAGAACACAAGAACATGACTTTGTTTGCTGGTGACATGATTTATTTCTTCTCTACCTATATCACCGCTTTAAACTGCACCATGTCTGTCCCTGTGTTCTTATCCATCCCAAACAAAGGTGCAACATGAAGAAATAAAGCACAAAGTGACCAAAATATGCAGCGTTAGTGATGAAAACCAGTTATTCAACGTTTCCTCTACCAGAAGAGTTCTGATTTTAAATCGCTCTGTGTTTTAAACAATAACCTGCTGCTCAATTTATTGGTATTTGATAGATTTATATTTATAACTCACATATTTAGCACAATATATTCCCTATTATTGCTATTAACAATAATTGCTAATATTTAAATGTTTTATGGGTAAAACGAGGTGGGAAAAATTAAGATGAAGGAAGCAAGACAAAATGAAGTATAAAGAGGACATAATGGAAGAAAAAAGAAAGACAGAAAAGACAAAAAGAAAGAAAGAGACAGAAAGCCTTCCAATTATAGAATATTTTGAAATCCAAAGAAAATTCAACTAGAGCAGTCACAACTTTCAATTTATTTTCAATTACAAATGACATTGTGAACAGAATGCTGGGAGTACGGTTCGGCCCAGCAGCGCCAAAGCTGCATCACGAAATGACTGCACACTTAAAATGGCTTCACCAAACAAGCCTCACTTTAAATGAAGGGTGCAAAATGAACAGTTTTGGTTATGTGTGAAGGAAATATTAGAGTTTGTGAATACATTTTGGTGAGAAACTATTTCACTTTCTGGAAAGAAGGGGTCATTTTTTTGGCTGGTTTTCTCTGTATTGTCAGGATAAAGTGAAGTGCTTTACAATTACAAAAGAGTAAGGTCTGCAAAAGTTATGATTGGATGTGTGTATTCCAATTTCCTTCCAGTATAAGCATGTGTGTGCATGTTCAAGTGTGCACATACAGTAAGTGTAGGTAAGAGGGTTTACAATGAGCTTACTGCAGGCTTTTGGCAAAGAAAATGAGCTGCGCTATTTTCTGCAACTGCAAGTGTTTCTGTGGAGTCTGGCTGATTGTAGCCTCGTCTTCTGAAACACCCAGCCAAAAAAAAAAAGAAAGATGAAAATTGGCAACAAAAGAGAATAAATTGCAGTCTGTGCATGAGAAAGACATCAGTCTGTCCCAGAAATCTGCACAACAAAGACACGAAAGATCCCTGTGAAAAACACTTATGTATCTGCTGCCGATACTACTTCAATGTCAGCACTGTGAGATTGCCCTGAATCATCAAGTCCACCACTCTGCAAAATCACACAGCACAGGAATACAAATGTGACCTAAATTTATATTAATATTTGGAGGCAGCTGAGGACAGTGATGCGCTGCGCATGCTGGACTATTAAATAATGAATCCACTGTAGATGGAAATCGATGATTAGGGCCGGTATGTGTGTGCATGGGCTCAATACAATCAAAATCTGGGGCAGCACTGTGTGAAAGCCCACCCTCCAGTGACTTGTGGGTGGGCCTGCAGCAATATCATTAGAGAACATACATTCCATGCATCTGTTTGTCTACGTGTGTGGGGGGGGGACAGGAATTATAGCCTTTCATATAACCTTGCCACTGCTGTAGGTGAATGAAAAACTGGCGAGGCTCAACACTGTCTAATCACACGTGTGCACACGTTTCAGTAAATGTGTGCCCTTGTTGTTTCTAGATAAGGGCTGAAAGGTCATAAATGCCCTTTGCTACTCTAGGCCAAAGAATGTACTCATTATTCTGTGGGATTTGGGGCGTATAGGCATGTGTGTTAGTGTTCTGTGGCGTAGTTCTTCTATGTTGACAGACACCTAAGTGATTTTTATCTGTCCTACCAGAATTACACACTTTAACTACAATTATTCAGACTCTGTGAAAGAAAACAAAGCAAAGCAGCAACACAAGTGTGAACCAGGGAAAGTGGTTGATGGGTTCACCAGATGACTCAGTTAGCAACACTGATTGTGCAAATGTCATGTTGGATTTGTTACAGTATCTGCTGTGACTTCTTCGACACCTCATAGAGATGAGGTGGTGGGAGGAAGACAGCAATAGTAAGAGGCGACAGACAAGAATGAATCCTGTAATAGTGATGACAAATTAACCACCAGGAGGATAGAAAAAAAAGTCTTGCTAAAGTTAAAACTCTGAACTCTCAAAGACTCCCAAAGTTTCCACGATTAATCGCACCAACAATGAAAGAGTTCTGCATGCATGCACACGTGTCAATGTGTCTGAGATCTGGTGCGACATCCCTGATGATCCACATCCCACACACGTGCCCCATGACACCACCATGCAGCAGCAGGGAGCTTCCATATGTATATGTGACACATATGACGCATCCATGTAGCTGAGTTGTGCTGTGTTTGTTTAAAAAATAAAAGATAACTCTAAATGATTAGGCTAATCAACTATCAAAATAGTTGCCCATTAATATTTGACTGACAAATCTTACTAAACTTATCAATAATTAGGAACAGGAATAGTTCTATATTTTGGCAAATAGGCTTATTCATTTTCTTGCTAAGACTTCGAACCAGCAGCCAATTAGCTTAGCATAAAGCAGCAGGAACCCACACAAAACCACAAATTGCCATTTTTACCCTTTTGTTTTTGAACAGATGAATCAAACAAGATATGCTATGTTAAATATGAGCATTACAGGCGCTGCTAGGTGAACACCGATACACTTTTACAGACTCAGGGTTGCTGTTTCCCCCGTTTCCAGTCCAGCTGAATGAACCAGCTCTCTGCTAACAGACATACTTCTCATCTAACTCTCAACAAGAAAGCAAATAAGGGCATTTCCCAAAGTGTCAAACTATTCCCTTAATAAAACCGCTGAAAAAAGTTAATGAATTACAATGTAAAAGCCTTTTGAACAGTAAGTATATGTACAGTCAGGTTTTCCCTCTGACATACACCATCAACTGAGAGATCTTGTACAGACAGGTGTGTGCCTTTCCTAATTGTAGCCAGTGTATTAAATTAGGTACAGGTGGACTCTAACCAAGCTGTAGATGCTTCTCAGTGACTATTGATAGTAGGATGCACCAGAGCTCAACTGCAAGTGTCAGAACAATTTGAATAATTTCTGAATATTTTCCATACTGAATGCAACTTGCATATACTACAATAATGTACTGCGAGAGTAAACAGTGATATCTAGTTACAAGTATCCACTCAGATCTGCACTTCAGGTGTATTTTAAGATGTCTGTGAACATCTCTCTGCTAGCTGTTTTCTTTTCAACACTATTATTCAATAAGGCTGCCTCAATAAGTCGACGTAATCGATTACATCAACATCAATATTTTTAACTTTTTTTTTAAAATAAAATCTTTTTACTTCTAAAACGCTTCACCCCTTCATTAAAACAAATGCTTAGATTCACTATCACTACGTAGCTGGTTGCCAACTACAAGTAAAATCCACAGAAGAAGAACAATATCACTACATAGTTGCTGAGTGCTTACGTCAGCTATCACTGGTCAGCTCCAGCACAGATAAAAGTTTTAGATAATCATGGCGGCTGCAACAGAGTCTGCAGAGTCTGACTCATTTGCAAACGAGGTTTAGTGTAGAAGTTTCCAAAGACCCAAAGCTTTGAAAGTATGGGAGTATCTCAAATTAACAGAAAACAGCAGGGTGGTGTCTAAAGTTTCATTGGTGTACCACAGCAACATTAGCAATATGCACAAGCACCTGAAGAGAAAATACAGGTGCTATAATGGATGATGAACTGCCAGAAAAGGCAATAGTAGTGAAAGCTTCTTAATATGTTTGTCTATGTAGCTGCTAAACCCATTATTAAAACCATAAAGTCATTTGCCCACTGCCTTAGAATTTCCATGGAACAGGTGTTTGAGAAAATGTTTAGGCTAGGCTTATTCTATACTGACTGATGGTGCCAGGGTGTGTGTGCATTATGTTGAGCCTTATTTTATACAGTCTATGGCTTGTGCATGTTGTGTTTTGATGACGCACCTTTCTGGAGGAAAATAGTTTAGATTGATTGACTAACTGTCACAATAACTTATAGTTTAATCAATAGAAAAATAGTTGTTAGTGGCAGCCCTACTATTCAAATACCAGAATAACAGATTGTATTCTGTTCTCTGGAGGATTCACCTCCTAGTTTTCTCCTCCAAGGCACAGAGGCTTAGATTTTCACTTTACTTTCATCTGTCTAATATCCGTCAGGTGGAATGGGCTCTCTGCTAGGTCATCATGATACACTGCAGGCTTTCTTTCAAATATAGCTGAGATCTGAAGTGGACTAAACCATTAGACAATTTGTATGTCAAGGAAAGGAATCATCTTACTCTACAGGCTATATCACTGGCTCTTATGGAGCAAAACCCATTTCATATAAACAATTTAGCAAAGGCTAAATATCCTGACCTGAAATCACCTGAGCATGTCCCGCTCAGAGCTTTAGAAGCCAAACCACTCCGCTTGGGCTCTTGTATGGTAAAAGTCACTCAGAGAAATGATGGCCTTTTTGGGAAAGAAAAGCATTTTGAACCTCCAAAAAGACTGTCTGTATGAATAAAAGATAAACGACTGAAAAAAAGAAGGTGGGAAAATCGTCCCCTTTGCAATGCAGTCAGAATACGAAGGTGAGCTCTGAAAATGTCTGCCAGAACATGAATAAAGGTAAGGCATTTTTTCAAAGCCTGAGAATGCTGGGATGCAAATCATTATTTAAAATCCCCAAATACCCTGTTTCAAAGAGAGTAAAAAGAGAACTTCTTTTCTGTATTGTGGCATGTACCTACTAATGGTCAGCAACCTCTCTTAGAGCTTTTAGGGCTGCTGGGTAGACCCACATTGGCAACCCTCCTTCCTGACTCAGGTGGAGTAAAGGCCAGACGCTAGTCAGCC